GGAGGAGGAGGAGGAGGAGGAGGAGGAGGAGGAGGAGGAGGAGGAACAGCACTGCCTGCTTTCTGCTTATTCCCTTCAATTGTTCAAGTGTAAAGGAATGCACAGAATTTACCGACAGAAAACTTTAAAAGGGTGATGGGTAGTGCTAATTCTTGTGTCAATCTTGGTGGGAATCCTGAGCTGAGGCAAACCAAAATTACCCAGAAGGCACTCCAATATTTAGAAACAGAATCATGTTTTCACTCGTCTCCTGACCTACAGTTTGCCATTAGAAGTGCCTTTCTGCAGTATGTATTTACATACATGTCCATTCTCTTTGAAAATAAGATTATAGGGCTGCAAAATGAGCTGACCAAGTGTGGAATCCTGAAGAACATGACTGACTATGAGGATTTCTGGAAGCTGGCTCAGGAGGAAGCTCTTGGAGTAGAAATGAAAGAAAAGCTCCAGAAGATAAGATTTAAGTGTTGGTATTTCTTTTTCCTCCCACACTGGGGATATTTGTTACTTTTAGCATTTGGTTCTAGGAAGTGACAAGTGGCCTGTTTTTCAGCTGGGTTGAGCTCTTAAGACAGCTGTGATTAAAGGTTTAGAAGTTGTATTGACTTCTAGTAATTCTATTAATAAGACAAAGGTTTTGGTGATAAAATAAGCACCAGAAAGGAAAATGGTGGTTAATGTGGGTCATATTTTCCTTTTTGTCCAGTCAGCAGAGCCAGTGCTGCTGGCAACTGGGCCCGGGTAAGGAGAATTACAAAGTTTTTCCCCTGGATCTTGCCAAGGCTTCCCACCTCTCTCACCAAAGTGAAGAAACTCAGTTTTGATAATTACGGACTGTTTACTTCTTGCTAAGAACTGAGTGTGCATATATGTGACAGATGGGGTGGAGTGTTGGAGAGAAGGATCCCTTACCTGTGTCTGTGGGTGCAGTGCCCAGAGGGCAGCAAGCTTGCTGCAAGGACACCTGGTAGGTGGACTAACTGATGCATGATGGCATAGCTTTTCACAGTGAGCTGCCTGTGTATCGTCAGAACTGGAGTCTGGGGAAACTCATAGGCCATAAGTTTTTCTGGATGAGCATTGTCTATGGAAGTTAGAATTCAGGGTTTCTCTGTGTAGCTTTGGAGCCTATCCTGGCACTTGCTCTGGAGACCAGGCTGGCCTCGACTCATAGAGATCCGCCTGCCTCTGCCTCCCCAGTTCTGGGATTAAAGGCCACCAACGCCCGGCTGAGTTCACAGTTTTCACTGCTGAAAACACCTCTGTGTGACAGTAAAAGGTGCAATTTCCAAGGTCAGCTTAGAAGTGTGTCTGCTGTCAAAGCTTTCTTGCCCTTAATGATTGTTCATACTTTATAAAAGAGCCCTGTGGGACTGGGAAGTTAGCTCAACTAATGAAGCGCTTGCTGTACAAGCAAAAGGACCTGAGTTCCATCTCTGGACTAGACCATGTAAAAACCAGGTATGGTGCTTAGCATATAATCTCAACCCCAAGGAGATGGAGACCAAGGGTCCATAGGGATCAATCCCAGCCAGACTGACTGAATTGGTGAGCTCCTGGGCACTGAGAGATCTATTTCAAAAAGTAAGGTGGAGGGGTTGGGGAGATGGCTCGATGGTTAGGAGCACTGACTGCTCTTCCAGAGAGCCTGGGTTCAATTCACCTACATGGCAGCTCACAACTGTCTGTAATTCTAGCTCTAGTGGACCCGGCACCCATGACAAAATAGCAGCACATATAAAAACATAAAACAAAAAACAAAAAAAGTAAGGTGGAGAGTGATTGAGGCAGACCTGTGGCCTTCATATGCAGTTCACACACAACAAAACACACACACACAAAAGAGAAAGGAGAAAGAGGAAGAGAGAGAGAGAGAGAGAGAGAGAGAGAGAGAGAGAGAAGTGGTATCTTTTTATCTTTTTTATTTAATTTTTTTTAAGATTTATCTTTATATTTCATCTGGAGCCTACAATTGAACTCAGGTCCCCAAGCATGCTGGGCAAGTACTCTACCACTGAGCAATATCCTCAGCTCTCTATTTAAAGCAGCAGCAGCAGCAGCAACAACAACAACAACAAAAACAAACCATAATAAATAAAAAACATTTTGAGGCCGAGTCTCATTCAGTTGCCTAGACTGACCTCAGACTCGAAGACTGTACCACCTCTTGCTCTGTCACTTCAAGCATTTTTCAGAGACAAGGTCTCTCTACGTAATGTGTGCTCTTCCTCCAAAGCTTCCTGGGTCCTGGGGATTCAAGTGTAGAATGCCACACCTAGCTCAATAAATAAAAACATCTGTTATCACTTACATATACCGACCATATAAATGAACACTGAAATTCAAAGATGAATCTTGCATAGGTGAAAAGCCTGTAAATTTTAGTTTTATACCCAAAGGAACAATCTTTCCAAATGCTAAACTGGATTTTGAACATCAAGCAGCCCTATCTCAACATGGATGCATACTTTTCTTGCATAGAGGGTAATGAACATTTATACAATTACAAATTTGGCTCACTGATCACCCTCCAGTCTCTCTCCCCAGTGATGAATCCCAGGCCCTGGCTGCCAGCTGCTTCTAGGAGAAAAGAAACCAGGATGTTGGTCAGCACTGATCAAGACAGTGGGACATGCCAGGGGACACAGGTAAGAGTTCCTCTGGGGATGAAAAAATGCATCTTCTAATGCAATGGTGTTTTTGTTTCTGTTGTTGTTTTCTATTCTGTGTTCCTGGCGCATCTCTGGAGAAGACCCACGGGATGGAAACAACCTGGGAAGGGGGGAGAGTTAGCAAGATAACTGAGTTACCTCTTATACCACTGTGACCAAAACAACAAACACAAAGGAACAGAAAACTTGTTTATTGTGACTCTCAGTCCCCGAGGCAGGGAGGGCATGGTGCTCATGCCTGTGGGAGCATGTGACAAGGTGGCTCCCAACATGGCAGACCAGGAAGTCAGAATCAGCTGGGCCCATGGAAACCTTCAGAGACTCATCCCTGGGGCACCATGCTGCCAACAGCCAAACATCCCTTTCTCAAATGATTCACAGCCTTCCCAACAATGCCACCAGCCAGGGAATGAGTACCTAAGACATGAGACTCTATGGGGGAGCATTCCTTATTCAAACTACAACAACTGGAAGCAGATGTTTGGCGAGAAAGAAAATTACTCAATTTTTATTCTATAAAATCATGGTGCAATAATTCAGGGAGCCTTCCTATCAGAAGTATGTTTGCTTGTTGGGAATGGAGGGACACTCAGTGTCTAAGAGAACTTGATGCTTTCCAGAGACCACTAGTTCAGTTTCCAATTACCCACACCTGGCAGCCCACAACTGCCTGTAACTCCCACTCCAGGGAGTCTGATACCTTCTGGGCAGGCTGCTCAGCTGGGAGCTGGATTCAGCTGTTGCCTTAGTGAGTGAGACACTGTGCTCTACCTCTGTGCAGTCCTCAGCGCTACAGCAGGGCACCAGGCTGGTGATCTGGTCCACCACAAGCTTCCAGTCCCACACCGGACCCTGATAGTCTGTGTGTCTTCATCCCCTCCAGCTAAGTGACTCCATGCTATGCTAAGAAGCCTCTCCATTCAGGCAGATGGCCATAGTTTAGATATCAAAGACTGAAGGATCTTGGGAGTCAGCGTGGACTATGTATGCACGTATGTCCAGGCTGCGCTGGGCCAATGATATTTCAGTTTTACTTGTTGGGTTTTAGTTTATGCATTCATCGTGGTGATATAGAAGCTCAGTCCTGGGGAAAGGGAATCAGAATTTGACCTTCGACCTTGCTCCTTAACAGGTGGTTTGGGTGGGGCTTCAACCTCTCCCCACTCATTTCTTTCTCTAGGGAGGCACAACGACTATGTCTATTTAAAAGGCCCTCAAAAGAGGTGCCCCACACTAAAAGGTCCAGGTAGCGACTGCTCTGAGGACAAGCTGAATGCTGATGGGAAGATGTTACACCACAGATCGTTGTATCAACCTGTATTTTTCTTTTTGAGATAGAGGTTTGCTATATAGCCCTCTTGTCCCAGGAATGGAAACACTGGGATTATAGATGTTTGCCACTGTACTCAGCTGGAATAATCTTTGTAGCTTAATGTGTTGTGTTTTGTATTTCTCTATGGGAAAGCTATTTCTGCCCAAGTGGGAGCCAGCACACTTAGACACATTCTTTCCACTGTGTCCAGCCTGTAGGCAGTGCTGAGCCCTGCTCTTGTGGAAGACTGCCTCACACACAGGTGCCAAGAGCACCTCATTTTCAGTTTGTTACAGAGACCATATTTTTTTGGGGGGGGGCAGTGTGTGAGATGGAGTTGAACTTGGCTGAGAGTTTAATTTACAGCCAACAGTTTAATTTACTTAAACCAACTGCATTTGCTGGAGAGCACAGAGGGCCCTTGACTATAGACTCCAGATCCGTCTAGCAATTTTGAAACAAAATAAGTCATACATTCAGTTCACGAAAGGCAGTTTTCTTCAATAGTGGTAGAAACAGGCATCTGTTGAAGATAATCACCGTCTTTATCATCTTTGTAGAAATCTCAGTATGCTGGGGGAGGTGTGGGGGAGGTGACTGGATTTAGGTAAGGTTGTGAGGCAGGATGAATGTTCTCATGAAAGGAATGGGGGGGGGGTTACTGTCCCTCCTTCTACATGTGAGCACATAGTAGGGGAGGTGGCTCTCTCCATCTCTAGGGCCGGCTGTTCTGGCTCCATGTCTCTTACCCCCACCTTTCGGACCATGAGAAAATAGATTCCTGTTTAAACAACCCAGCCTGTGGTATCCTGTGATAGTAACCTGAACTCAGACAATGTTCCAATGTATGTATTGCACAGTTCCTCCTTTGTCCTGGGTAGCTTCAGAGAGCAGAAAGAGGATCTGTAGGAAGATGTTGGGGAAGAAGTAGAGTTCAGATCAATATGAATGATATTGATCTGATCCTTGAATATGGACCAATATGACCCAGGAAAGGTCACAAAGCTTCAGTTGACTCACAGTAAGTAATAACCTAGAGGAGAACAGAAGCAACTAGAAAAGCAAATTTATGATCTGGAAGACTAGGGACCTACCATCACCCTCTTGGAAGCTACAGATTACCTATATATAGCACTATGGGTGAGACCTGCTGAGATTTCCTGCATTCATGACAGTGTGTCAACTGGTGGTGTCATTGTCTGCATCTTGTTTAGGTAACCACATTGTTGGGGTTTCATGGGTCCTGCTTCCTTGTCATATGTAGAAGACTCAATCCTGCAGCAGACTTTCTAGGCCTCTGGCTCTTACAGTCTTCCCACTGTCTGTCTTGTGATGTTCCCTGAACCTTAGGTATAGGAGTTGTGTTGTAGGTATATCCACTGGGATTGGTCAGTTGTTATTTTGACCAGTTGCAGATTTCTGTAACAGTCTTCACTTGATGCAAAATGAGGCTTCATTGATAAGGTACATTTAAAAAATGCTATATAATTCATTAATCAGTTTTTTTTATTTAAAAAAATTCCTTTACACGTGTGAGTGTTTTGCCTGCATATATGTCTCTGCACCAGGTGTGTACCAGGTTCACAAAGGCCAGAAGATGTGTTGGATCCCCTGAAACTAAAGTTAGACTGGTTGTTAGCTGCCATGTGGGTGTTTGTAATCAAACCCCATGTCCACTCTAAGAGCAGCTAGAGATTTTTTAAATTTTATTTTTTTATTTTCCATCTTGACAACAGTTTCCCCTCCCTCCTCTACTCCCATTCCTTCCCTGACCTTCCCTCTGCCCTATCCCATCCACTCCTCCTCTGTTTCTGTTCAGAAAGGGGAGGGCCTCCCATGGACATCAACAAAACTCAGGCACATCAAGTTGCAGTAAGACTAAGCACCTCCCCTTGTGTTAAGGTTGAGCAAGCCAACCCAGTATGAAGAATAGGGTCCCAGCCAAAGTGTTAGGGACAGCCCTGCTTCCACTGTCACACATATATAAAGGGCATAGGGCAGTCCCATGAAAGCTCCCTGGTAGTCAGTTCAGACTCTGTGAGCTCCTATTGTTAGGAATAATGCCTGTGGGATTCCATGGCAGGCCAGGTTGACTGAGGAGGAGGGACAAACATAGCAGGCAGACAGAGCTTAAGTGAGAAGTTTTATTAGAAAGGAGAAGGGAAGGGGGAGGGGAAGAGACACAGAGACAGAGAGAGACAGAGAGAGGACAGAAGAGAAGAGGGACTCGGAAAAGTCCCGTCTGCCCCTGGGGAACAGCGGGAAAGAGAGATGGAAAGAGCAGAAAGAGAGTATAAGTGTGTGTGTGTGGGGGGGTGTCTTTCTTTTAATTTGCACCTGGGCTGACCAAGGTACTGCCTGAGTGCATTCTGCCAGGTGACAGGGGCAGGCCAGCATAATGCCTGAATCCTTACACCTATGAGCTTAGGTTAGTTGATTTTGTGGGTTTTCTTGAGATGTCTTTGACTTCTCTGGGTCAAACAGTTCCTCCTCCCTCTCTTCAGCAGGATTCCCTGAGTTCAACCTAATGTTTGGCTGTGGGTCTCTGCATCTGTTTCCATCAGTTACTGGATGAAGCCTCTTTGATGACAATTGGTCCAGGCATCAATCTATGAGTATAGCAGAGTATCATTAGGCATCATTACAGTGACATTTTTTTTTCTCCAGGCATGATTGGTTCTATCCTAGGTCCCTGGGCCATCCAACCTCTGGATCCTGGAGCTTCAGGCAGTATTAAGGGTTCATGGCATGGGCCTCAAGGCTAGACCTGTCTTTGATTGGCCACTGCCACAATCTCTGTGCCACCCTTACCCCAGCACATCCCACAGGTGGGGCAGACTGCAGGTCGAAGGTTATGTGGTTGGGTTGGTAGGTTGGGTTGGTAGCTCAATCCTTCCACTGCAAGTCTTGCCTGGCCAAAGGAGATGGCCAATTTGGGCTACATATGCACTATTGCTAGGAGTCTTAGCTAGGATCATCTCTCTCAGTACTCTCCCTTCTCCATCTGCCCCTCAACCCGATTCTTCATGTTCCCATTCTCACCCATTCCTAGTCCATCCACAAGATGGCTTCTATTTCCTCTCCCCAGCCCTCCCTGTTACCTAGCCTCTCTGGGTCGGTGGATTTTAGCATGACTGCTCTTTACTTTACATCTTATATCCACTTATAAGTGAATGTATACTATGTTTGTCTTTCTGCATCTGGGTTTCCTCACTCAGGATGATTTATTTTTCTAGTTCCACCCATTTGCCTCCCAAATTTCACGATGCCATTACTTTTAACAGCTGAGTAATACTCCATTGTGTAAGTGTACATTGTCTTTATCCATTCCTTGGTTGAGGGATATCTAGGTTGTTTCCAGGTTCTGGTTATTACAAATAAAGCTGCTCTGAATATTGTTGAGTAAGTGTCCTTGTGGTATGATGAAGCATCGTTTGGGTATATGCCCAAGAGTGATATAGTTGGTTCTTATGGTAGATCAATTCCCATTTTTCTGGGAAACCACCATACTGATTTCCAAAGTGGCTGTACAAGTTTGCACTCCCACCAGCAGTGGAAGAGTGTTCCCCTTTCTCCGAATCCTCTCCTCTCCAGCATGAGTTGTCACTTGTGTTTTTGATCTTAGCCATTCTGAAAGGTATAAGATGGAATCTCAGAGTTCTTA